CATGCCCTGTCCCGATCTACCAGGACGCCCCGCCCCATGTCTGGAAAGCCTCCCCGCCCCGACCCTCCACACCCGCCCCGGCGCTGGGATGTCTGTCCCTCGCACGGCCGATCCAGGCCCCTGCCCAATGCCTCCACCAGCCCTCAGCCCTGATTTCCTGCTGTTCTCAAACCCCTTCCCGCTTTCCTTCCGTTTAAGCAACCAGTGCCTGGCCTTGTATACATAGCGATCAGGTGTCCACTCGCGGCGTGGCAGGCAGTGGGTTTGGGGGTCACTATCAAGCCTCCATGGCCTGCGCGGACGAGGCTGGCGCCTGCTGCGATTGGCACAGCATCTGCTTGCACACCTATAGCCGTAATGGGGTTGGGAGAGGTGTGCATGTATGGTGGGGGTGAGGTGGATGCAGGGCGCCGCTGACGTGGTATGGGGCGGGCCAGCTCAAATGGCTGAACCCCCACTCCGGCCCCACCTGGTTGGAGAGGCCTTTGATCTGCTCGCTGGCCAGCCGGACGGCGTCCTGCACGACGTGCTCGAGCTTGGTGTTCCCTGCAGGCAGTCGAGGAAGAGGGGGGCAAAGCTGCTGCCTTGAGATGCAGCAAACAATGTCAGCGCACAACAGGCAAAGAGCCTGTCCTGCGCTTCGCTGGGCCGCCACGGACAGCTTCAGGATGTACATGCCGTGTGACGCTTTTTCCACCAAGGTGCTCATTCTTGAGCCTGGCTGCAGTGTACATGCCTTCCACACCACCCGCCTGCCTAGCCTCACCCAAGGCGGGCGGCTGAGGCAGGCCCGACCTCTGTGTGCCGGGTCTCCACAGCGACTTGTCAGCCGCAGACAGCTTCTTGGCTGCCATGAGGGGGATGCAGAAGGGAAGCTTGAACCAGGGTCAGGCAGTCATCACCCTTGATGAGACGCTGAGGGCTGTGAGGTGGCAGCTGTCACGTCTCCTTGCTCACTGTATGTGCACCTTGTCGACTCCCTGGAAGCCATTGCGAACGCACGGCAAGTATCCTCCACATGACTCACCCACATCCTGGAGCTGGCCTGTCACGAGCGCTTGCTTCTGGAGCAGGGGGGAGGCACACAGGGTTTTCACCCAGTAGCTGTTCCACAGCGTGCCCAGCAGCTGGGCATCCAGGCTGGACTTGAAGAAGGTGACGTCCA